CTGATGTCAGCATCCATCATTTATATTCTGCTCTAGGAAACCACTTCAGTGGCCTTTCAGGACCTCCTAGAACTCTCTTCCTTATAATATAAATCAATATGCTAATTTCTAATCACAATTTCTTTTATTTCTCCCACTTTTATTCACTCACTGTCTCATTTGATCTTAAGTAGACCATTAGGCTACTGACTTCTTTCTCTTAACTTTTCACTATCACATACCTCCTGTGTTGCTTCCTTTTCTATCTCATTTAAACCAATTTACCAGAGACCCCTGCAGTTAGGTTCCAGTACCCAGCCCAGTATATGATGCAATAATACTAAAAGACAACTAGGCGAGAGAAAGCGGGGTGCCAGAATGACCAATGCTGGTGCAACCAACAAGGTCACTGGCCAGTCCCAGGCACTGACTTTTATTGGCAAACAATTGGAATAAAGGCAAGCTACGTGCAGTTTCTATGGAAATTAATGTAAACAGGGCTCATAAAGGACAAGACAAAGGATCCTCGAATTAGGAACAGAATAGGCAAAATATATGGTTGTAATTAAAACATTGTCCTTCTAGTCAGGAAGTTTTAGTTGTGGGAACAGAATCTGGGTACATGTTACTCTGACCTTGGCACATAGGCTTCAGCCAGACTCACTTCTATAAACAAGCCAATTGTGGGGTTAACTCTTTATGGCCTGCTTTGGGTATAATCAATATTTGAGTCCCCTGGACCAATTGCTATTCTGTTCTTAATATCCTACAATCCCTATGCCTTTGTTTTTCTACCATATATATTCTACAAAGCTTTTACTTGGAATGAATCAATCTCTTCATCCTATATTGAAGCTATCAAACATTGCTAGAGAAAAACCATGTAATAGTGTGCAGTGGGCCATTCAACGTGACATAAAGAAAGACAAAAAGTTGTAAAATACAGGAAGGGTTAAGAGACACAGATGATACAGTGAAAAAGCCTGATATGTATTTAATTTTATTAGCATCTTAGAAGAGAGAAATTGAAAATAAATTAAGAGGTAATGACTGAGAATTTTCCAAAATGATGAAAAACATCAATTTACAGATTTAAGAACTCCAACAAATACCAACCAATATAAAGAAAAAGAAATCCACATCTAGACACACATATCAGTAGCAGAATTTCAAAACTCAAACTCAAAATCTTAAAAGCAGCCAAAGGAGAAAGAAAAGCATGTTTTCAGAGGACTGAAAGCTGACTTCTCAGCAGTAACAGTGAAAGCCAGAAGACAGTGGAGTGGTATGTTCAGCATATGAAAATAAAATAACTGTCAGCCTAGAGTTGTATATGTAGCAAAAAATATCTTTTCAAAATAAAGGTGAAACAGAGGCCTGGGGATGTAGCTCATTAATAGAGAGTTTGCTTAACATGCATGAGGTCCTGGATTCAATCCCCAGGACAACAACAACAAAAAACCCCACAAAAATAAAATAAGACATTTTTCAGAAAAATAGGGAATTCGTCATCATCATATCTGTGTTCTTTGGGCAGAAGGAAGATTATCACAGAAAGTGAAAAAAACAGGAAGGATTGAAGGTAATGAAAATTATAAATCTGTGAATGAATCTAAATGAATATTAAATTGTAAAACAATTATAAACTCTTAGAAAATTTAGAGTACAGGAAGAATTAAAACACAGAACAGCAGTGACATGTAGTCCTGGAGTGGGCAAGTACACAAGATATTCTGTTATCCCTTCATTATCTGGAAATGGTGTGAAAACACAGCTATTCAGCTTGAACAGGAAGCCTAACTTTTTTTTTTTCCAGTACTAAGGTTCAAACCTAGGGTTTACCACATGTCAGGCAACCACTCTATCACTGAGCTACATCCTCAGCCTTTAAAATTACTTTTAAAAATACCTAGAAATACATCATACAAAATATATGCAAAGTCTCTATGTAGAAAAACATAAAGGAGACCCAATAAGTGGAATGATATACTATGTTCATGGACTTAAAAGTACATATTGCAGAAATGTCCATTCTACCCAAACTGATCTGTTACACTCAGTGTAATCCTAGACAAAATCTCAATAGATCTAGGGATAAGGAAAGAGATTTGAATAAGTTGCTTCTAAAATTGACCCAGAAATGTAAAGGATATGAAAACTGAAAAACTCTTGAAAGAGTAAGTGGATTTGCTCCATGAGATATCAGGACAACTACTCTAGTTTAATACTTCAGTAATTAAGACAGTGGCACAAGAATAGACAAATAGACCAATAGACAACAGAGTGTAGAAACAGACCCAGTATAAATGAACTTATGATTTTTAAAAGATGGCAATACAAAGAAAGCAGAGTCTTTTTCAATGAGTGATGGCTCGGACAATGGTGTTATAGATATTGAATATTCATATAAAATGAGATGGCCCTGTCTTTACACTATAAACAAAAATTGATTTAAGATAGATTATAGATCTAAATATAAAAAGTAATACAGTGAAGCTCCTAGGAGATAATGTAGGGGAATATCTTCATGACTGAAATACAGAATGATTCTTACACAAAATGAGAAGTGCTAACCATAAAGGGTGAGAATGAAAACTGAGACTACATCAAAAACTTAACTTTGATATATTAAAGAACATCATGAAGAAAGTGAGTAGGCTAAAAGGATACATTTATAGCCAGGCATGAGGACACACATCTGTAGTCCTTGATCTAACCTAGGCAACTTAGTTACTTAAGAAAACCATGCCTCAAAAGTAAAAAAGGCTGGGGATGTAGCTCAGTGTGAAGACCCTGGGTTCAATCACCAGGAATGCAAAAAAAGAAGAAGAGGAAGAAATTTGTAGTATATGACACAATATAATCAAAACTACAGTGAATGTTTAGTTATTGTTTTTTTATTACAGTAAAAGACACATTGCAATTAATCCCCCACAAAATATTCCCCCTTCAAACATACATCCCATCATCGTACCACTTTCTGAAGCAGTTCTGGAAGTCCTCTCGTGAGTATCTTTAGTTGCCCTGTCACAGCTGCCTCCATGTCCAGAATTGATACAAAACATTTACCTTTCATGGTCATCTTGACTTTGAGGAAGAGTCAGAAGTTGCATAGTGCCAGATCCAGTGAGTAAGGTGGATGAAGACACACTATAATGTTTTTACAGAGCTGCTTTTCCATTGGATGGAGCTTGGAAACAGCATTCACCGTAGTTTTTTTCACACCTTCTAAACACATTCATGAAAGAAGACTTCCAGAACTGCTTCAGAAACTGGCAAGAAAGAGTGAGGGTGTTCAAAGTGAAGGGAAGGGGCCAGGGATGTAGCTCAGTGGTGCTGCACCTGCCTGGAAAGCACAAGGTCCTGAGTTCGATCCCTGGTACCAGAAAAAAAAAAGTGAAGGGGAGTAGTTCAAGAGGGATTAATGCCAATGTGTTTTTTTACTGTAATCAAATTTTTAAACATTCACTATATAATTTGATTCCCCCTTGTAAATCCAACAAAGAATCTATATCCAGAATAAATAAATCCTACAAATTGGTAAGAAAAAGAAACACCAATAGAAGGAAAATGGCAAGAGATTTTAAATAGCACTTCTAAAAGAAGATATCCAGATGGCCAGTAATGTATGAAATGAAAAAGCTGGAACCCCATGAGTGATCAGGAAAATATTCTTTGTCTCTAAGAGAAATGAAAACATCATGGCCACACTGAAGCTTGTACATGAATGTTCACGGCAGCGTTATTCTTGTTGCTTACATTTTTTTTTTGTACTGGGGATTGAACTTGGGTCCTTGCACTTGTGCAGCAGGCGGTAAAACCACTGAACTAAATCCCCAGCCCTGCAGCATTATTCTTAATAGACAAAACGTAGAAACTAAATACTATGAACTAATGAATGGATAAATAAGATATGGTATGTCCATTTAATGAAATGCTATTTGGCAATAAAAAGAAATTAATTTCAGTTATATGCAACAAATGAATGAGGTTCGAAAACATTATGCTAAATGAAAGAAGCCAAACACAAAGGACCACATGTTGCATGGTTTCTCTTAATTGAAATGTCCAAAATAGGCAAATCTATACAAATAGAAGGTAGGTTAGTAGTTGCCTAGAATTAGTAGCATTGGGGGAGATGACAAGTAACTTAAAATATACAGGGTTTCTTTTTCAAGTGATGAAAATGTTCTAATGTTGTAATGGTTGCAGATTATGCTAGTAACCATTGAATATTATACCTTAAGTGGGAAAATTATATGTGAATTATATCTCAGTATCGCTGTTTTTTAAAAACAGTATTGCTGGGCTAGGGATTTAGTTCAGTGGAGCTGCGCCTTCCTCGCAAGTGCGAGGTCCTGAGTTCGATCCCCAGTACAAAAAAAAAAAAATAGTACTGCTGCGCACACACTAGAATGGCTGACATTTTTAAACTGCAATACCAAGTATTGGCAAGAATATGGAGTGACAGTAAATCTCATATCTTGCTGATAGTATAGTTGGTACAACCATTTTCAGAAACCTTTTTGCCATCACTTCTTAAGTTTGAATACATGCATACTCTGTGATCAGGGATTTCCACTTGTAGGTATGGGCTCAAAAGAGACAAATCCAGAAATGTTCTTGAAAACATCATTCATAAGAGCCTGAACCAAGAAGTAACTCCATAGCCCGTCTATAGTAGAATGGATAGATAAATTGTGATATAGTCACACAGTAGAATATAACCTAACAGTAGAAATGAGTAGACTACAGCTACAGGAGTAGAATCTCAGCCTGGAGTGCACCAGTAGTTTCAGTACTCAGGAGTCTGAGGCAGGAGAATCCCTTGAACCCAGGAGTTCAAGCCCAGTCTGGGTGACATAGTGAGAGCTCATCTAAATATATATAGTTTAAGAAGTAGTTAAATATTTAACACAGCACAATGTGCGTGTGTGTCAAACAACAGTTAGTAAATACTTATTTCATGAGGGTAGTATACTAAAGACTCATAATTTTTTTACCTTTTTTTTTTTTTGTAGGAATATGTTTATCCAGAAGCCAGAGACAGACAATACTTACTATTTTTCCATAAAGGAGCCAAAAAATCACGTTTTGACCTAGAGAAATACAATCAACTCAAGGATGCAATTGCTCAGGTAAGTTTTATAAAAATTAAGATAATCTAAGCCCCATCTTGTATGATATCATTATTATCCATAACCACAATACTTCAAATGGGTAAACTGAGAGAATGATCCAGCCCTCTTCCTCCTGCATATATTATTCCTCAGTTAATAAAATTAAATAAGCAATAGACACTTCTATAAAGGTTTTCCAATATAAACAGATGGAAATATTGCAGCTCCTATCTATCCTTTTGACATAAGCATACTTATATTTTTAGTCCTACTTTTACTTATTTCTTTAGAGTCTACTATTTTTCAACTAGAGTTGTCTACTTTCCCTTCTTCTTTTAATCTTCCTAGAAGTATTAACCCAAAGACTTCTCACCTAAAATGTGTGGTAGCAATGGAGCAGAAGTAAACTCTAAGGCAGGTGTGTCAGTGCCCTCCTATAATACAGCACTCTGGCAGGCTGAGGCAGGAAGATCATAAGTTTGAGCTCAGCCTGGACAATTTAGTGACTTAGCAAGAGACCCTGCCTCAAAATTAAAAAAAAAAAAAAATTAAAAGAGCTGAGGATGTAGCTCAATGTCAAGGCACTGGATTTAATCTCCAGTACCACCAAGAAAAAGTAAAATCCAGCAAGGAGAGACTGAGAAATCTTTACCAGGCACAAGTCAGAGATTATCAAACTAAAAAATGCTTTTTTAAAAAAATTGATATATTTTATTTTACTTTTTTTTGGTATTGGGGATCAAACTCGGGTCCTTGCGCTTGTGAGGCAGGCAGCGGAACCACTGAGCTAAATCCCTGGCCCATATTTTATTGTTTTAAAAAAACTGCATCTTTCAAATTTATGGGTATGCCTCCTCAATCTGATGTCTTTCACTTTGATGAATAAATCCTCATTCCTTTTCTCCATAGTCTTTTGTGACTTTAGCGATTTTGTTTTTGTTTTTTTGTTGTTGTCATTCTGGGGACATCAGCAATTTTTTAATAGTTCCTAGATACTTTTAAGTCCTCTGTAATGCTTAGTTGCTCTTCTCTGCCTCATTTTGATGTTGTTGTTGTTTGTTTGGTTGGTTGGTTGGTTTTGGTTTTTTGTTTGTTTTGATTTGGGGTTTGGGGGGCTTTTTGAGACAGGGTCTTACCTTGTAGTCCAGGCTGGCCTGGAACTCATGGCAATCCTACCTCAGCCTTCCAAATGCTGGGACTGCAGATGTACACTACCACACCTGGCTTCTCTGCTTTTTTGGTCTCTCATTGGTGATGAAATTATGCTTTGAATAGGTTAAATCCATCTTCCTGCCTCAGGCTAACAGCACTTTGTCTTCTGTTGTGTGTGTGCTGGTTCTCAGCTGAAGGGAATGCTGACCAGAACCATCTTTGGAGCTCTTACAAATACAAATGCTTCAGCCCCACTCAAGGTTCCTCCAGGGCAAGGTCCAAGGGTGTGGTGGATTTTCAGAGTGCTGCAGTTAACTGCATATCCTTGTTTTAAAGTCAGCTGGCTAAGTGAAAAACAGATTCTCTTAAATAGCATCAATTAAAGTTTTGGATCCCTGCAAAAGTTTGTGGTCCAACACATCAAGGTGTCTCCGATGTGCCTTACATTCCAAGGCCCCGGCTGTCTTACCCTCTGCTAACACTGCCTTTCCTAGAGGGATTGCTGTCAGCTAAAACTGCCACGGCCAGACTTTTATTCTGGATTCCCTCTTGGTTGTTCTGTGCCTTAGGTTGCAGCTCTTTGTCTTCTGATTTTCAGAGTAACCGAGATGATCTCTTTCCTCAGAGTAACGGAGAAAAGACAGTTTTCTTTTCTCAGCAGGCAGTAATGTCACTGGAAGCTTCACTAGCCAGTTTCTCTCACCTTTTCTTTCTATTTTAGGCAGAAATGGATCTTAAGAGACTGAGAGACCCATTGCAAGTACATCTGCCCCTCCGACAAATTGGTGAAAAAGATTGATCTGCAAAGAGCTTATGAATCCTGACAGAAAGAACACCTGTGTATAACTCTTGCCTTTTTAATTAAAGCATTGCAGGTGGAAGCTGGGAGCCATGTGGGGGTAGAGGGTTTTTACCTTTAATTATAAAACAAAAAAAAATTCTTAGGGAAGAAAAGAATGTTAAAATCTGAGGATCAGGGATCATGGAATATAAGCTCAAAGGGCTTAGTGAATATTGTCTTAATCAGCATCTCAGATTTCAGATGAAATGATCCAATTATATAGTTGAGAGATTCATAAAGAGAAAATGATGCTGGAGTGTTTGTTTCTTGCATCTTTGCAGGGTCAGCAAAACAGTAACACACCAGCACCCCACTCAACTCTATTTTTTTTTAAATTTAACATTTCTTATTTTTGACATAGGAATAAATAAATATACCAGAAAAGCAAATCCTCATGTTATGTGGGTGGCAAACAGAGTCTGAGCCCATATCATTAGCATTTATCTTAAATCGGACCCAGTCTCTGCAAAGTTACAAGGAATCTCTCCCTCCTAGACCCCTTTTCTGACCACTGCCTGTACCTATTGGTTACACTAATTTATCTAAATGATTATTGGAGCCAAGTTATGACTGTTTGATAATTGACACTTTAGATTATCCCTTAATTCCTTCTTAAGTGTCTATATATCCCAGTGCTCTGGATGAGTATAGAAATCATTGGCAACACTGCATGAAGTTTTTCTGTTTTGTTTTGTTACTAATTATTTCAGAGGAGGAAGTATTTTCCTCCTTTATATACCCATCCCACTGATAATCCCCTCTCCCTTCACCAGGTTAGAGGGAGTGTGTTCCACTGTACCACCAAATCAGGAAGATGTGATGTTTACAGATTGGCTAAAAAATCGTGGCTCTATAGTCATTTCAGAACCAGAATAATGTCACTGCTGTTAATCTGCTTGTGTGACAGCATTCCAGGCCACCCTGATGGCACTGCCTTGTCTGGAGGCTTTGTTAATCTCAAAGGACACATACTTTCACACTGTTTGTGAGCCCTCCTTCCTCCACCGCTGCAGTTGTTGTAAATCAAGTGTGTGGATCTCAAAGGGTGCATTTTATCTTTATACAGGAATACATTTCTATAGCTTCCTTCAGCCTGCCTTCTCCACCCTATTTTTTCTCACCTTAAATTGAGAGAAAGAATTAATCTTATATTCTATCAAAATGTTTTCTACCATATTTTGAGCCAACACCTGCACTTGAAGAGTCAGAGGAATCTGTGTCTAATACCTGTTTTTCACTGCTGTGGAGGCACGATGCCAAGGATGACAGGCTTGCCACACAGCTGATTGGCTCTTCTCTTTCCCATGATTCATCCCTCCTCCTGTGGCAAAAGGTTTCTTTCTCTTTTTCTTCCTTCTTTGGGATCATTGTATATGAAGCGAAAACTTTTAATGACAAACCCAGACTCCAGGTGCCTTGCAGAGGTTGAAGGCCAGCCAGGGCTACTGCTGCTTCCGCCACCACCCTTCACTGGCATGACGAATGAAAGGATGCATGTCGCCAGTCCCCAGCCCTCCTCCCACTCCCTTCCCTGTCCCATCCCCCACCCCTGGTTTATTTTCATTGTGTGGATTATTTTTAAACCATTTATCCTGTTTGTGAGCAGGGTTTTTAAGAAGAAATAGCACAGTGCCATGAGCAAATCCTTTTGGGGTGTGTGGGAGGCAAGGGAGGGAGGACATGGAGAAAAGTCCTTTAAACAATAGCAAAACATTGAACGTGTAAAATCCTGTATCATTTATGAAATATGTATAAAAAGCAATGTACCTTCTGGAACAATAAATACTTATTCGATTTTTGAACAGTAGCATCTCATTCTTTAAAACTTACTTTCTTGTGATTCCAGGTGAGAAACCTTTTCTTCTAAAATTGCTTTTAATAATTATCAAATTAAGCTTATTGGGCCCTATATTTCAGAACAGGCATTACACTGATTCTTCCTGAACTAAAATGCTCATTACTTTTTTAAGTTTTCCAGAGCCACCAAGAGGCTGAGTGACCTCTGTGACCATTAATAAAGTCAACACTAGCATTGAGACTGATACACTCATCTCCTGATCAGCAGGAAATTCCATTCTATCAGACCATCTTGATTACTCTGGACTCTAGAAAGTTGCCAAGAAGAAAGCAAGATTAACTATTAATTATTTTTGGAGATCACATCAAATTTACAGTGATCACCAGACAGGAAAATACCACATGCTGCTAAATTCACCAAAGGCGTATCAAAAACAGGTCATGTCTGTTTGCTTTAGCATAATAGGAGGGGATACGAAAAGAGCTTGCATGGCTGGAGTCCTGCTCCTGGTGGCAACAGCTGCCTAACACCAACAGCCCCGAGATGTATGTAAGATATAAAACGGTAAGGCTGAAAATGTTAAGCCATCGTTTGTATTCAACAAATAATGACTCCTATACATTCCGACAAGCCTTTGCAGGGGATATTTTTTAAAGAAGAAAATAAAAACATGGTTCCTGCTGGGCACAGTGGCACATGAGGCAGGAGGATTGCAAGGCCAAGGCCAGCCTGGGAAACTTAGCAAGATCTTGTTTCCAAAATAAAAAAGGGCTTGGGATGTAGCTCAGGTCAATGTGAAGACTCTTAGTTCAGTCACCAGTACCATAAATAAATGGGCGTCCTGCCTCTAAGGAATTTACAATTTAAAGTTTGGTTTAAAACAGTGAGCTCAATGACAAGAAAAAACACTGATTAAAAACTGGGCAAAATAATAGACAGATGAAGAGTAGGCATATCTGCCCTTGTTCCCCACCTTAGGGAGAAAGCATTGTATCTTCTTCATTCATATAAGGCGTTTTTGCTGGAAGTATGGAGTACATGTCTTTGATCTGGTGAGAAGGTTCTGTTCTACTTCTAGTCTCCTGATAGCTTTTACCATGAACAGTTGTAGAATTTAGTTTGATACTTTTTCTCCAACTAGTGACAGGATCATATGGCTTTTTCCTTTCCTCTGTTAAAATGATGACTTCTGGGAGTGGATCTTCCAATGCTGAACCAACACTGCCATCCCTATAATAAAACCACTTTCTACATCCTGCCAGATCTGACTTCTGATAGTTTGTTTTGTTAAACAAATTTCTGTCTATGTTCATACTTTTTTCTTCTATTATCTTTATCCAGTTTTAGGATTAACACAATGTTGATTTCCTAAAATGAAGGGAGAAGTGTTCCTTTTTTTTCCTGCTTTAAATGTTTGATATAATTTATCAGTTAAAATGTATATGAGCCTGTTGTTATCACATAGGTAGGTTTTCAAGCTAGGAATATACTTTCTTTCATAGGTGCTATTCAAATTTTATATTTCCTCCAGAGTTAGTTTCATTAATTTGTCTTCCAAGGTACTTCTTAGAAGTTGTCAAATTTATTTCAAAACAGATTTTTGTAATATGCTTTCTGTATCCTTTTAAATTATGTGAAATCTGTGGTAATGTCTCCTAGACCTTGATATTGTAATTTTTAAAATGTATAAGTGATATTGTGTAATAGGAAGTAAAGGTCTAAAGGAGCAGGGGAAGTGGGAGAGGTAGGGGAAAGGAAAGAAGGGAAAAGAAAAAATATGAGAAAAGGAAAAAATGGAAACAAAGTCTTTGCAAATAGGGAAGGGTGGAGGGGGTGAAGGGAGGGCAGGGGAAGGGAAAAAAAATAAGAACCAAGATATTCATGTAAAGGTACAAGATTTTATACCTAAAATATACCAATAAACTTGATGGGGGGTCCTGGGCAAAAGATGAATAATAGACATTTCTCCAAAAAAAGAACTCACAATTGGTCAGTAAACATGAAAAGATGCTCCTCTTCACTAATTATTAGGGAAATACAAATCAGAACTATGATACCATGAAATACCACTTCACACCCATTAGGATGTCTGTGACCACAAAAGCAGAAAACAAGTGTTGGTGAGGATGTGGAAAGACTAGAGCCCTTTCTGCTGCTGCTGGGAATGTACCACAGTACACCCTCAAAAAGTTGAACAGAATTACTGTAATTCAGCAATTATGCTTCTGCATATATGTCCCCAAAAAATTGAGAGTAAGGACTCACACAGGTATTTGCACATAAAATATGATATGTGCATACAGTGGACTATCATTCAGCCATAAAAGAATGAGATTCTTACGTATGTTAACAACATAGGTGGACTTTGAAGACATTGTCCTAAATAAGCCCATCACAAAAACAAATACTTTATGATTCCCTTTATAGGAAGTATCTAGGGTAGTCAAATTCACAGAAATTATGGATTCTGGGGAAAGAGTAAGGAATGTTTAATAAATCTGGTTTAGGAAAATGGGAAAGCTCTGGAGATGGGTGGTGATTATGGTTTCAGATAATATGATTGTACTTGATGCCACTTACAAATAGCTATAGTGGTAAATTCTGTCATATATTTTATCATGGTAGAAAAAAGCAGAGTGAATTTTCATTAGTGATAGATCATGATCAGTGTTGAATATATTACTGAGTTTGTTGATGTAGGTAGTTTTGCTGAGGAAGCTTCAACTTTTAGAACTGGAAAAAAATAGGGTTCTCAGGGTTGGGTCCTTGGAACAGCAGCATGGTATCTCCTGGGAAGCCACAGAAATGTAAGGTCTTGGTTCCCAACCGAGTCAGGGTCCATGAGTGGGCAGCAGGCTGTGTTCAACACGCCCTGCTAGTGATTCTGATGAGAACCACTGTTGTACACGAACTGTTGCTTTAGAGGACATGTGTGTCACAGCTCATCGGTGAATCCTGAAGGCAAGCACCACACTGAGTGGCTGGAGGGTCAGTGAGTTCCTGACTACGGTGAATGGAAAAGATGTCTAACAAGAGTGCCTGTCTCATGCTAATGTGACTTCCTGCTTGTGAGAGTAGAGCAGTAAACACACAGATGCTTTCAAAAAGATATATAAGTAGGTTGAATGTTTTTATCTACCTGGAAGGATTTGATGAAAATGGGAAACTTCTTAGACTTTTGAACTCAGTTTCACCAAAACTGTGAGCCTTGTCATTCATATTTATCACTGCCAGCAACCTTTAGTTCTTTGCTCTCCAAAATAATTCCAAACTCCTTGTCTTCCACGATGTACTCTGTGGTTATTTCCTTAGGATAAATGTGTAGGTTAATTTAAGGAACTCAATTAAACATAGTTACTCACTTTATAAGTTCATTTGCATTTATTGCATAAATGTGTCACATGCTGAGCAACTCCTTCAAACACCTCAGCTCCTGTGACTTCACTCTTGGTTCGGCCCATAAATCTCTAAGTCAAGTCTCAATCTCCTTTACAGCACCCTCTTCCTCTACCCATATCTTTGATGATAGGCTTCCCCAAGGCTCCATCTTGGATCCTCCTTTCCATGGGCGATCTTACTCACTCCCCCATCTCAGGTACCCTTTGTATATTGATAGCTTTCCACATGGCACATTACCTGAGGGACAACAGACTGACTTCTACCTCCTAACCTATCTGTTTCTACCCTCTATGGATTAAATTCCTTCAGTGTCACCAGCATATTTTAAAATTCTATTAGCACATGCTTTAGAAAGATTGGAAGGTTAAAAACAAGTGTTAACATTAAATATGAGGGAGAAGAGGCTAAAAGGCAACCTCAAAGAAGCAACCAACTATCCAAAATATGGGCCATTCTGTATGGCACATGATTGGGTTTCTTCAAGAAATGGCATGGAGGAAAAGGGAAGACCATTACAGAGTAAAGAAAACTTAAGTGACACACCAGATGAAATATACAGTATAGATCTTGTTTGAATCCTGACTCAAGACAGCAATAAAAAGGAATATTTCAAACTATCTGGAAAATTTAACATGGATGAGGTATCAGATATTAAGCAATTATTATTTTCATAGTTGTAATAATGGTATGATTACATAAGTACACATCTTAGAAATGCAGATATAAATGAAATATTCACAAAATGTTAGCAATTACTGCAGCTGGTTGTTTGTTATTCTACTTTTGCTTTTTTTTTTATATTTCATCATAAAAAGAAGAAAGGACAGGTCAACTAAAAAGGAAAAAATAGAAATAAGGGTAAAAAATCTTACCATCCTGGAAATTCTTGTTTACAGAATCAAAGGGATATCTGTCAAAAGTCCTTGACTCTAGCAGTCAATCCTGGCAGCAAATCTGGCTTTATCTCTCATGCACACGTCCTCTTTCTCTGTGACACATGCAAAACACTCAGACGGCTTCTTAGGGACAGGAAATTGTGGGGGTTGGTTTTTTCTGTTAAAAGCACTGACACTTTAACAGCAGTAGTTCACAATGAGACAATCCCATGGGTCACCATTGCTGGCTTCAAACCACACCTGAATAAGCTAGCAGTCAAATTACCTGCTTCCTATTAAAAGTAACTAACTACAAATTTAGATCTGTTGGAACCACTTACTAGACTATATAAACTGTTTGCAGGGACCACTTTTACCTTATTCACTGTCAAAACCCATTGATAAGCATGGCATTTGGTCCCTTTGTAAGCACTAACGTTTAATTTAACTGATGCGTTTAAGAGGTCACAATAATTTGAATTCCAATGAGGTCAGCAAAATATCGTGCTAAGAGATTATGATGACAACTTTGAGGACTACTTTCCAGATGAAATTCCTTTTCCAGTCACTAGATATCTGGTTATTAAAAATATATATATCAGATGAAAGTAAGTACAGGAATAAAAGAAGTTCAAAGTCCCCAGCTAAGGTAAGATTGGAAGAGGAAAATATAGCTTTGACTCAGATCTTTCTTTAAAATGGCATTTAAAAAAAAACAAACCTTCCATGCGCTTCTTTTATCCTTCCTCTTTACATCATCTATAGTATTAATGCTTGCTAATTCCCAAGTGTGCAGACACTAGAATATCAGAGAGCTAGCAAACTCCACACCTGAAATTACTATAGCTGTGTCTGCTGACCTCCAATACGTTTTGAGACTGAACTTTTCAAAATGTTGTTAATGATTGTTCCTAATTTTAAGCTCCTATCCCTTTTTTAGTGTGAGAATTCATGACATAAATAATACACATTTGAAAGTTCTGAGAAGAAAGGCACTATGAAAATATAGGTATTACTGCTAGAATTAGTAAAATCACAAGCTTAACTTTTTTTTAGGAAGTTTGAGACCATAATAAATAAGAGGTCATAATAAAATAGACTTAGGAGCTTTCTTCAAGAGAATATTGCACCCATCCCAGACCTGTCACTATCTTTTTGTGCACTACTATCAGCTCCTTAGCCTTCTAACCCAGACATTTCCTAATGACTAGTTCCAATGATGTGGCTTTATTCCATTCTTATTTAATGTGGCCACTGGGCAGTGGTATGCCTGTGACATTATGGAATCAATACCTAAAGTCACAAAGCAAGTTTTGACGTGAGGGGATGTCCCTCATTAAGAGTTCCCTTCTGGATAAGATACTGGAGATTCATTGCAAGGAATTCTTCAGAGAAAACAATAGGAGGATGAAAGATTGTGAGGGTTTCCCCCCCAAAGAAAAATGTCAATAAAATAACTCTGCTGACAGTGTAAAGCAGTTCTTCTATCTGAGGTCAAGGCCAGAGCAATGGACACCTTATCCCCTCATCCTCTTCCTCCGATAAGACTCCAGCCAGTCCTGATAAGGTCCTTCTCCATGGGAGCTTAGATTTTTTTTTTAAGTTCTTGAAAAAGGGACAAAGGAAAACAGATATTAAGAGGATTTTCCAGTCTGTTTCTGGTGGTTGGTCCTGAAAGATGCCTCAGTTCCTGCTGCTCACCTGCTTCTTCATCATAGTCAGCCCCGTGTCGCCCATGGGTGAGTCTCGTGTCAAGAACTTGACACAAAAAACTTTGTTGTTGTGATTTGCAACTGCATACAGGTTAAGAATAGATTTCAATGTCTCAAATGCCAGTTCTAGAATTGTGTAAGAAAAATCTCATTATCTATGGAAATATATTTTCAGAGAATTTCTGTTACATGTTCCATTTAGTCTCTTTCCTGGGCATCCAAAATTTCCATGGATCCACCATATCCAACATCTTTCCATGAGCTAAATGTTTCTTGGCATACATGTAAAAGGAATTCCAACCTTGTTATATTGAGGTACTTTTATAGTTTCAATTTAAAAATAAAAGATGATCTTAAGTTTTAGAGATGAGGCTAGAATTTTTTGTTTAAATAAATTCAAGGGTCTGAAAGCTCTGCCCTCATGAGGGGCATAGATACGGATAAACCAGACTTTAGCCTTGACCTTTGAAAATATGTGTGACTTTTTGCTCACACCAAATAACTCTTAAACTCTCTCCATTCTCTGGTTTGGCACAAAACTGGCCAACTAGGCAAAGAAAGTTTCAATTTCACTTACTCATTTCTTTCTCCAATAGAACCTAAATTCTAACTGGAACACAGGATAGGAGGCAGGGTGGAGGGAACCATTCCTCCTGGCACTTTTGTTTAGCTCAGTATTTGCTTGACCCTGATTTATTTCTTTGCAGGAACTCTGGCACTTTAACAAAGTAGGCTTGAGACTCTAAGGAGACAAAGCTAAGTGTAATGTAGTATCCTGAGTGGGATCCTGGGGCAGGGAATGATGTGGGTGAAAACTAAGGAAATGTGAATGAAACTATGGTCTTGAGTTAATGCATTAGCAATGGTGCATTGATTGTGTCAAAGGTGTCAAGCTAAGTAATGTGTGCAGTGTGTGTAAAATGAATATGTGGGGGGAGGCGGGGGCAGAGTACATGGGAACCCTTTTCTGTCAGTCCAAAATTGTCCCCTTAAATAGGCTTGAGCTACCATCCTTAATTATCTATATCTGCTGCCAGTCGTTAACCAAGAGTTGCTCAGAATCCTTCTTTCTACTCCCTTGAGTACCTCCAGCCAGTATCTTCCTATTAGTCCTCCGACCTTGGCCCTTCCCAGGCCTCCCCCATCCAACCTCCAGCACTCTAGGATGTTCGGCTCAATATAGGGAGAACTTTGGGGCCTGGGGTGAATGCTTGTCTGGGAGACAATAGAAGTGAAGGAAGAAGAGGGAGAGGAGGTACTGGAAAGGAGAGGAGGTAAGAAAGAGGGAATCAATGGGCGAGGGGAGAGAGGGACAAGGAGAAAGGGCTTCCAGACTGAGCAGGGGTGTAGTTTCCTGCTGATCTCACCATGGCTGCCAGGGTAATGTGAGTCGAGTCAGGCCAAAAAGATGGGGATGCTGGCTTGTATTCTCTGACCTACTGGGGCTGTGCACAGGTGCAGGAGTCACAGCTTGAGGGTGGGCATCCTAGAGGATGGCAGAGCAGCTGCCGGCAGACCGGGACCCCTAGATGCCAACTTCAGGAGCAACTCACAGGCTCTTTTAGAAACCCTCCCATTGAGGAGCATCTATCAGCAATATAGGATCCATATGCATAATACCAAACTCCGGACTCCACACTGAGATTGAAAACAGAATTTAACACCAGTGGCCAGATTATTAAAGGACTGAGTCACTATTTTAAGGGGGAATGGTATGGGATGAGAGCATTTAAGGTTAGACAATATGGAGTGGTTAACATATAAATATGTACACATCATTATTTTACAGTAGAGGGTGGATAAATTTCTCCTCGTGCCACAGATCCCCTACAAGAGAGGAAGTAAAATTTTAATAGCACAATAAGTGACAGTTAACTTTAAGAAAAAACTTTATAGATCATGGAATAGTCATTATAGGAATTTCTGTAGAAGCCATTAAAGGTTGAGTATCTAACCATTTTTTACAAAATTAGAGCCAGGATATGAGCAAAATATTTCTATGAATTTATAATCACCTGTGAAATTGCACTGGAAATTTGCTTGGCAAGAGAGCCACAGCCAGAAAGCAGTGGAGGGAATTTTTCCCTGTTGAGAGGGGAAAGGGGCTAAGGACATTCCTTCCCCTCTAGGAACATCAAACTGTGGTCCCGGGTTCAGTGGACATACCTCTGTGGACATTTGAAGAAGATAGCTCTTGCCATCTGCAGCTCTGCAAATCTGTTATTTCCCAAAAAATGCAGGGCCGGGGATTTAGCTCAGTGGTTTCCCTGCCTGCTGCGCAAGCACAAGGACCTGAGTTCGATCCCTGGTACCAAAAAAAAAGTACTTTTCAAAAAAATGCAACATCCCACTTATTTCTTGTCCCAAACGGTTATATTTCCTCTGGTGATTTCTTGCCAGTGTAATGTGTATTTTAGAGCAGCTGACATGGGCCTGAGGCCTTTTTCTTTACAGTGGAATGAGTTTTACACTTTCTATCAAGTTAAACCTCCCATTGAGGCAGAATTCTGTTTATAATCTTCTTTACAAATAGCCATTCAAATCCTCTTTCTTTTAACTCCCAAAGATGGGGAGCTAACTGTGCTGTGACACAGCCTCTCCCATGACTGCATAGTTGAACTTCCCTTAATGGTTTGTTGTTGTTTTTGTAACTGAGTACTTAATTCCTCTTCCATAAGACTGTTTCAGATTTTTGAAGACTGATATATTTCCTTCAGTCTTCTTTTATTCCAAACTATAGTTCTTAGCTTCTTCGCACTAATATTTAGCCCCCCCCCCCCCAAGACTAGTCAACTTCCCCTGGGCGCATTAATCACTGACTTCCATAAAGGACAGCCTCCGGGTATGTGTGAACACAATACACAGAATAGATCTGCCCTGAAGAATCCTAACCTCCCTTATCTGGACAGTTACCCTTCTATTCAGTGATAACACCAGGATAAAACATCTAATCTGATGCTAACTCTAAGCCTTAAATAGATTTGAAGTAATGCTGTACAGGGGATTGGTGAAAAATGTTTAAATCACATAGAGGAATCTTAAACAACTACTTTTGGAGGCTTTAGATAATTTCTAGACCTCAAAAAAGCCAAAATGCAAGACCAAGAATGTGGACTTGGGGCGCTGGCGCTGTCATCTGAAGGGTCACTAGGTGTCTCTGAGGTACCCTCTCCGTCCCAAGCCCTAGATCCTTGTTCTGCTTACATCAGCTTGAATGAGCCCTGGAGGAACACTGACCACCAATTTGATGAGTCTCAAGGTACGCCTCTGTGTGATAACCATGTGGATGGGGAGTGGTACCGCTTCACGGGCATGGCGGGGGACGCCATGCCCACCTTCTGCATACCAGAAAACCACTGTGGAACCCATGCACCCATCTGGCTCAATGGCAGCCAACCCCTAGAAGGCGATGGCATTGTGCAGCGCCAGGCCTGTGCCAGCTTCAAGGGGAACTGCTGCCTGTGGAACACCACGGTGGAGGTCAAGGCTTGCCCGGGAGGCTACTACGTGTATAGTCTGACCAAGCCCAGCGTCTGCTTCCATGTCTACTGCGGCCGTGAGTATCTTCCTCCCCAAGTCCACAGCTGGACAGTACCGTGTGAAACCTAGTGACAGTGGCAGTGGCGTCTCAAAGTCTGAACAACATTGATTTGGTTGGGGGCCAACAATACCTCCAGGTTGTGATTTCTGAAATCTATTCTCAGACTTTCTGAAAAATTCCTGAAGAAATAGAAAATGAAAGGAAAATGTAACTGGATCAGTTATTTTTGTTGTTGTTTTTATTCCATTCAAACAAAGCATTAGAAAATGAAATGTTGATTTAGTTTAGCTAAATAGTGGTTTTCCAGCCTTTCTGAGTATAGAAGAACACTTGCACACACTAGACAAGTGTTCTACCACTGAGATGCATCCCCAGCCCCGGTATGCACTTTAAGAGTACATAGAAGAGTACTCTTACTTAGTCTATTGCCCATGTTTTTGGTTTTGGATTTGGGGGTGGGGGGCGGGGTGGGGGGGGAGTACTGGGAATCGAACTCATGACCTTGCGCTTGTAAGGTAGGTGCAGTACCACTGAGCTAAATCCCTAGGCCTTGCCCATTTTTTTATTAGTGCATAGTTGCAGTACATAGTTATCACATTCCTGTATAGCTCATGTTCAGTGAGATTTGCAGAAACCCTGTGGATGTGAAGGTGGAACCACTGATTTAATGGTTTAATGAAGATGCCCCTCAAGCAGTTTATCTGTTTTTCTTGGGTGATGTAAACTCTGAACTATGAAAATTTTCCTGATGGTAGCTGGGATCTCACACCCCATGACCGCACTCATGAGATTCAAGAGTGAGAGTCCTCTGGCCCTCATATCTCAAAGATAAAGATATATCTTCATCTCTCTGTAGATTTTTATGACATCTGCGATGAGGACTGCCACAGTGGCTGCTTGCACACCAGCCAGTGCACGTGCTCTCCAGGAACTGTGCTGGGCCCTGATGGGCAGACGTGCTTTGGTAAGAAGTCATCAGGAGGTAGACATGGGCTGTTAGGGCCAAAGGGACAGATCAAAATCTTCCTGCCTCAGAGCTCTGCCATTGTCCCAGTTTGTACCTCTGAATGCTTGCAAGGTGTTTAACTTTTCAGTTCACGGCTAAAGCTCAAGCCGAATTTATGATGTGATGAGGGGGAGTCCAGAGCCGTGCTGTCTGCCATAGTAGCCAGGTGGCTATGGAGTGCCTGAGGCACGCCTAGTGTGACCAAAGATCTGATGTTTAATTTCAAAACTGATTCTTGACTCAATTATTGAAAAAATCAAAAATGTGTGGGACAACTTGAGTAACTAAATTTTATCTGTGCTTACTAATTGCAAATATAGATCAAATATTTCTTTGTTGTTGTTTTGGTTTGGGTTTTGGTTTTGGTACCAAGGATCGAACTCAGGACCTTGCACTTGCCAGGCAGACACAGCACCATTGAGCTACATCTCTGGCCCTAGATCAAATATTTCTGATGACAGTCTGGCATCCTAATTCAAATGTGCTATAACTTCATTTCAAACCACGTTCCAAAGCCTCATATTATTTCTTATTACTGCCTCCAGGATTTCTTCAGGCAGACATTAAAACACAAATATGTGTTTGTTTTTCTTTTTACATCAAAGGTAGCATATTATATACATCTTTTCCTTAATTTATCTTGGTCATCTTTGCCTATCAAAACCTCAAGTTCCTATCTGGGGTGCATGTCCTTCACAGAGATCATGAATCATCTGAAATTCCAAGCAGACTTTTGTTTTATGCATGTGTCAATTTTAGTTTTTATTTAGTTTTCATTTATTTTTTCCATCCCAAATTATTTTATTAATTTTTAATTTTTATTAGTGTATGTTTGAAGTGCATCATTATTACATTCCTTGTGACAAATTGGTATATGAGTGTAACACATCTTGATGCTTTTTACTTCCCCTTCCCATTTCCTCCCCCCCCTCCATCTACCTCTTGGTCCCTTTCCCATTTGCAAAAGCTTTGTCTCCCCGTTTCTCATTTTCTGTCTCTTACATTGCTCTTTTATCTATACTTTGAGTTTCTCAAATAAGAGAAACCATGTGATATTTCAGCTTGTGTGTCTGATTTATTTCACTTAACATTATTGTCTCAAGGTACATCTATTTTCCTACAAATGACTCAAATTTATCCTTTATAGCTGAGTAGTATTCTGCTATATATAAATACTACATCTTCTTTATCCATTCAACTGTTGATGGACATATAAGCTGCTTCCAAGACTTAGCTATTATGAGTTGTACTGCTATAGACATAGATACGCATGTATTACTATAATCTGATGTCTTGAACTCTTTCAGGAAGATACTTAGAAGGGAAATAGCTGGGTCAAATGGAATTTCTAGTTTCAGTTTTTTGCTTAATCTCTCCAGCATTTATTATTTGACTTCTTGATAATTGCTATTCTTACTAGAGTAAGATGGAATCTCAGTGTTATTTTAATTTGCATTTCTCTAATGGCCAGAGATGCTGAACGTTTTTTCATGTATTTATTTGCTATTTCTACTTCTTTGTCTGAGAAATGTCTGTTCATTTCGGTTGCCCATTTTTTAATTGGGTCTTTTATTTGGGGGGTTGAATTTTTTTGAGTTCTGTGTATATTCTAGATATTCACCTTGTGTCCAAGGAATAGCTGGCAAAATCTTTTTCACATTCTGTAGGATGTCTCTTCACTCTGTTGATTGTTTCCTTTGGTGTGCAGAAGCTTTTTAATTTGATACAATCCCATTCGTTGCTTCTTGATGTTATTTCTTGTGCAATTGGCGTTCTGTTCAGAAAATCCTTGCCCGTGCCTATGTCTTCAAGAGTTTTACCTATTTTATCCATCAGTAGATTAATGCTTCTGTTTTAAATTCAGATCTTTGATTCATTTTTATTTTAATATAGTACATGGAGAGAGATACAGGTCTAGATTCAATCTTTTGCATCTGGATAGCCAGTTTTCCCAGCAGCATTTGTTTCCTCCAGGGTATGTTTTTGGACCCTCTGTCAAAGATCAGATGGCCAAATGTGCCTAAGGTTGTTTCTTCATCCTCTGTTCTGTCCCACTGAGCCACATGTCTGTTTTTATGCCAGTACCATGCTGTTTTTATTACTGTAGCTTTGCAATATAACTTGAAATCTGGGATAGTGATGCTTCCTGCTTTGTTCTTGTTACCCAAAATTACTTTGGCTATTCTGGGTCTCTTCTGGTTCCATATGAATTTTAGGATTGTTTTTTCTAGTTCTGTTGGTATTTTGATTGGGATTGCATTAAATCTAGATAGGAGCTTTGGAAGTGTGGCCATTTTGACAACAGTAGTTCTGCCTCTCCAGGAACAAGGGATATCTTTCTATTTTCTGATGTTCTCTTCAATCTCCTTTTTTCATAGTACTATAGTTTTTATTGTAGAGGCCTTTCATTTCCTTTGTTAGATTAATTCCTAAGTATTTAATTTTTCTTGAAACTACTGTAAATGGTCTTTTTCTAATTTCTTTCTCAGTTGGTTCATCATTGGTGTATAGGAACACTATTGATTTTTGGTGTTGCTTTTTTATCCTGCTACCTTGCTGAATTTATTAGTTCTAGGAGTCTTGGTGGAATTTTTTGTCTTCTATGTAAAGGATCGTGTCTTCTGTGAATAAGGATAGTCTGACTTCTTCCTTTCCTCTATGTGTCCTTTTTATTTCTTTCTGTTGCCTGATTGTTCTAAAGTTTTGAGTACTATATTGAACAGTAGTGGTGATAGTGGACATCTTTGTCTTGTTCCTGATTTTAGAGGAAAAGCTTTGAGTTTTTCCCCATTTAATATGATACTGGCAGTAGATTTGTCATAAATGGCTTTTATCAGATTGAGATAACAACCTTGTATACCTATTTCCTTCAGTGTTTATTTTTTATTATAAACAGATGTTGGATTTTGTCAAAGGCTTTTTCTGCATCTATTAAGATGATCATGTGATTTTTGTCCTAGCTTCTGCTTATGTGATGTATCACATTTATTGATTTCCGTATGTTGAACTGTCCTTGCATCCCTAGGATAAATCCTACTTGATAATGATGTATAATCTTTTTAATAATTTGTTGCATTCTTTTGCCAGTATCTTGTTGAAGATCTTTGCATCTATGTTCACTAAAGAGATTGGCCTGTAGTTTTCTTTTTCAGTTGAGTCTTGTCTGGTTTTGGAATCAAGGTAATGCTATCTTCCAAAAATGACTTTCGGAGTACTCCTTCCTTTTCAATTTTATTAAAGAGTTTGAGGAATATTACCATTAGATCTTCCCTGAAGTTTTTGCACAAGTCAGTGGCGAATCCATCAGATCCTAAGTTTTTCTTAGTTGGTAGGTTTTTTAAAAATTACTGCTTCAATTTCATTGTCTGTTATTGGATTTACATTTTCTTAGCTCAGTTTTGGTAATTTTATACATATGTAGGAATCTATCCAATTCTTCTGGAGTATCAAATTTATTAGAGTACAAGTTTTCAAAGTAGTTACTATAAGCTTCTGAATTTCAGTCATGTCAATTGTAACTTTGCCTTTTTCATTTCTAATTGCATTGATTTTGTGTCTCTTTCTTCCTTTTTTTGGTAAGACTACCTATGGGTTTGTCTATTTTGTTTATTCTTTTAAAGAACCAGTTCTTCGATTCATTGATTCTTTGTATTCTTTTTTTTTTTTTGGTCTCAATTTCATTCATTTCTCCTCTGACCTTTATAATTTCCTTCCTTGTACTACCTTTGGATTTGGATTGTTCTTGTTTTTGTGGGACCTTGAAGTTCATCATTGGGTTATTTATTTGAACTTGTTCTTTTTTTCTGATGCGGGTATTCACAACTATAAACTTCCCTCTTAGGGCTGCTTTTATTGTGTCCCATAGGTTCTGTGAACAATTGACTTTTCAAGAATGTATTGTTTAATATACACGAGTTTGCGTAATTTCTGTGGTTTCTTTTCCCATTGATTTCTATTTTCAGTGCACTATGATCTGGTAATTTCTATGAGATAATTTCAATTTTTTGTATTTATTTAAGCATACTTTATGGGCTGTATGTGGTCTGTTTGTGAGAAATTTCCATGTGCTGCTGAGAAAAATATGTATTCTGTGATTATTGGGTAGGACACTCTGTAGATATCTATTAAATCCATTTGTTCAAAGATGTTTCAACTCTGATTTTTTAATCTGGTTGATCTATTTGTGATAGTGTGGTATTAAGCTCCCCCACTATAATTGTGTTGATGTTTATATGCTCTTTTGTGTCCAGTAGTGTTTGTTTTATGAAGTTGGGTGCACTGGTGTTTGGTGCATATATATTTACAGTTGTTATCTCTTCCTGTTGAATTGTTCCTTTAACCAATATGTAGTGACTTTCTTTGTCCTTCTGATCAGTTTTGGCTTGAAGTCCATTTTGTCTGAAAATAGGGTAGCTACTCCTCCTTGTCTTCAGGGTCCCTTTTCCTTTGGAATATTGTTTTCCATCCTTTGATTTTAGCCTATGGATTTTTTGGGATTAAATGTGTTTCATGTATACAGCATCCCATTGGATTTTGTTTCTTAATCTAGTCTGCCAATTTGTGTCATTGGATTGGGGAGTTGAGACCATTGAGAGTTATTACTGAGAGATATTAACTTGTTCCTGTCATTACATTGTTTTTCCTATTCCTGATACCTTTTTGTTTCCCTTTCTTCTTAACTGCTCCTCCTACCTGATATATTTATTCCAGTAGACCTTTTGGCATTGTTGGCTTCATTGTCTCTTTCTAGGGTATCCTTGAAAATTTTTTGGAGTGCTGGTTTGGTGGTCATGAATTTCTTAAGGTGCTCTTTGTCACAGAAAGACTTTATTTCTCCATAAATTTTGAAAGATAGTTTTTCAGGATACATTGGTCTGGTTTGAAAGTTGTTTTCTTTTAGGGCTTGAAGCACTTCACTTCAAGCTCTCCTGGACTTTAAGGTTTATGTTGAGAAGTCTACTGTAACTCTAATGGGTTTACTGTTATAAGTTGTTTGTTGCTTTCCTCTAACATCTTTTAAGATTCTACCCTCATGTTGGACTTCTGGGACTTTTACAATGATGTTATATGGAAAAGTTCTTTTCTTTTTTTTTTTGGTACCAGGGATCGAACTCGGGTCCTTGCACTTGCGGAGCAGGCAGAGAAACCACTGAGCTAAATCCCTGGCCCGAAAAGTTCTTTTCTAATTGTGGCTATTTTGAGTTCTATATGCCTTGCTTATCTGTATGTTAAATTCTTTTCCTGTACTTGGAAAGTTTTCTTCTATTATTTCTGTAAGCAGTTTTTTTTTTTAATGCCCTTCACACTGTCTTCCAATTTTTCACTAATTCCCATAATCTTAGTTTTCTTTGCAACATCTAGCAGGTGTTGGGTCCATTTTCCATGATCTCTTGTTGTTTATAAGGTATCTGAGTATGTGGTCACCTGCATCATCCCTATTTTCTAGTTCTGACACTCTTGCCTCACATTTGGTCACTTTTACTGCCCAATAGAATTTTTATCTCTTGGATTTCTGTTTGGTACATTTTCATGGAGTTTAAGTCTTTGCTAAACTGGTCATTTGTGTTTTGTATTCTTTTGTTTAGCTCAGCTAGCTTTTTATTACTGTCTTCAGTGATAAAGCTCAGTGATCATTTTGTTTATTAAGTCCATTATCTGTTTAGTTATATTATCTTTGAGTTCACCATACACCTTATTGACCTGGGTTTTCTTGTCCCCTCTTATCACTTCCTATAAGTCAGTTGTTTAGCTTTGCATTTCCTCCCCATCAATAGATTAGCTTCAGGGAAAGTGGGAGTTTGGGGGTACATTTTGTTGCCTGTTTTCTCATGTTTCTTTTCTTTTTGGGGGGGAGGGTTGTGTTTGAGGGTCAATTATAGTTGAAAGACTTTGTTGTTAGTATGGAGATATCTTTAGTTAGTGTGTGCTTTCTAGTGATGCACTCTTGGCATGGCTAAAAATAGGCCTTTGCCTCTGTCTCAATATCTGACCACTTCCATTAATTTGAGGAGGGGAAGGTGCAGTGTAATTGACCTAGCACTCAGTTCTCTCATGTCAGAGAAGACAGGTTCCCCCTCCCTGGGAGCCAAGGTTAACATTCCAGGCTGTTTCATTTCTTTCTCTGCCTTAGTTTTCATTTAAATATAACAATTTTAGGTCTGGGGATTTAGCCCAGTGGTGCCAACCCCTGCCCCACAAGTGCAAGGACCTGAGTTTGATCCCTGGTACCAAAAAATAAGTAAATAAATAAATAAATGTAACAATTTAAAATACTTATTTTAAATTATGCAATTTTTCAGACAGAAGGAATAGTATAAAAAATAATATAGGGCCGGGGATTTAGCGCAGTGGTTCCAGCACCTGCCTTGTAAACACAAGGTCCTGAGTTTGATCTCCAGTACCAAAAAAAAAAAAAGAAATAAAAAGAAAAAATACAATATAATACACACAAACATACCCAGATTTAACTACAATTAAATTTTGCTTTCTTTTTTGTTTAAATAAATTTTGCAGGTCAAGTCATCACTCTGCATCTCATTTTCCTCTCCCACCCTCCAAGGGTAATCATTATGTTTGTACTCATAATAGCATTATATAACATTGTCCTGCATATTCTTAAAATTAACATAGAAATGATAGTTTATTCCATGTATGAGATTTTCTCTGTTGTGTATCTATAAGAATGGGATTAGCTCAGTGGTTTCGCTGCCTGCTGTGCAAGCACAAGGACCCGAGTTCGATCCCCGGTACCAAAAAAAAAAAAAGAATGGGATTGCTGGTGCATAGAATATCTAAACTGATTGTAAATACCAATCAATCCCAAATAATAATGTCCTAAATAAGTAGAAATTGATTTCTCCCTCACATTAGAAAAAAATCATTCTCAAGGAAAGTAGTCCAGGGTTGGAATGGAGGACTCCAAGGAGCAGGAGAAAGTGTAGCCCAATTCACATTCAAAAAGGCTGCAGCCACTGACCATCACTTTATAGGCACCCTATTGAGGGAAGGAAAGAAGGGGCTCAATTCATATTCTAGTCTTTTTTTAATATTCTAGTCTTATTGACCATATTTTTCACCTCTACAATTTCTATATTTATTTGCTTTCTGTTCCATCTTGTCTTGTTCTATGCTTATTTTGGTATATACTTTCTTTTTGCCATTTTGGTATATCCTTTCTTTTATCTTTCAGTTAATTTTTATGTATTTGTATTATAAACTTCTGAATTATTCTATCAACTCTGGTTCAAAGACTCCTGTTAGCTTCCTATACTGTCTCGTGGTAGATCATTTGTAGTGTTTTCTACAATCCATCTTCTGTTGTAATTGTTTTCCTCTGGCTCTCTGCTCTTATCACCTGGTTCGAAGAAGTTTTGTTGCAGAGCAGTTTTTCAAATACTTTTGTCAGATATCACCAAGGTATACTAGTTGAGGTCAAATTTTATAACAGCGTCTCAGCTTCAAAGATTCCCTCACCAGGTGGGAAGTATAAATCCATTCTTCAACCATGACAGGGTCCTGGTTTAGGGTTTCCATTGTTTACAAAGGCTTTTCTCTCTCCTACAGCCTCAGGCAGAGAGTGTCCTTATTGCTTTCCTGGTCTACCTGGCAAAATTTTGATACTCTCAATCTGATTAAGAGGTATATCAGTCCATTTTCTGTTACTATAATGAAAGTTACCAGAGGCTTGGTAACTTGTCAAGAAAAGAGGTTTAAAACATTTAGTTCACAGTTCCAGAGGTTCAAAGGCATGTTACTGGCACCTACTCTGCTGAGGGAAGGCCTCAGGATGGATGGTCTCATGACAGGAGCGTGAGTGAGCAAAAGATACCACAGGAAGCCCAAGACCTACTGGGGGGAGACCCTGTGGGGCCCCACAAAAACTCTATGTTTATCTTTTTGAAGGGCAGTGCCACTGATGACATAATAACTTCCCACTAGGGCCCACCTCTTTAAGGTCCTACCACATCTTGACATCACCATACCAGGGATCAGCTTCCAGCACACGAAACTTTGGGGACACACTTAAACCATGTCCAAATCATAGCAAGGGGATTCCTCTGCAGGGGTTGTGGACTTAAGCAGGGCTTCAGGCCCAGCTATCTCCTCTCCCTGGTCCAAGGTCACACCTACTGCCACCTTATGGATGTTTAAAACTCCAGTCCCTGGCTTATGTCTTGTATCCAGGTCTGCTATCCCTGGGAGCCTTGATGAGTTTAGCACCCAACCCTCCCCTTCTTTGTCTGTGGAAGGAAGTGGGTAGATATTTATTGCCAAGTGTGCATTTTTTGATGGCAAGAGTCCATATCTTTCATCAGATTCTTTAAAAGTTTAGCAACTACTACTTAAATACAGTGTTAAATTGTTCCTTTTTTTTTTTCTTTCCAGTACTGGGGATTGAACTCAGGACCTTGCGCTTCCAAAGCAGGCACTATGCCACTGAGCTAAATCACCGATCCGACTGTTTCAATTTTTTTTTTTTTCTGTTTTGTACCGGAGATCGAACTCAGGACTTGTGTTTGCGAGGCAGGCAGTGGAACCACTGAGCTAAATCCCTGGCCCTGTTCCAAGTTTTAAAATAGGTCTTGAGGGCAGTTCATATTGTAACAGAAGACTTACAAAATACTTTATCAGATATCTCCTTCTGCACTGTCAGCTCCTTTCATGATTTAGAGCACAATTTAATTTATAACTTTGTGTTTATTTAGCAGCTTTTCAGAAACTCCTTGAAAAAAAGCGAGAGTTGCCAACACAAATAAGTAGATATATCCAGGACACAAAAGGCACTTCATTTCCTCATGCTTTTGCCCTTAAAAGGGGAGGGAATTAGGGAATTGGGCAAGTAATTAGGTGCCCTGCACACAGCAGAGGGCTGATGACAAAAGACTTGGCTGGGGATAAGAGGTCCTAGAAGTGCTGATGCTGGACCACAGTGGGGAGTAGGGCATGCAACATGTCCAGCAGATTCTGAGAAGATGTGAAGATTCTGCTCAGGGCTTGGGACAAGATGTAGCAACAGTGTGGTTTCTCTTCTACAGATGAAAATGAATGTGAGCAAAACAACGGTGGCTGCAGTGAGCTCTGCATAAACCTGAAAAACTCCTATCGCTGTGAGTGTGGGGTCGGCCGTGTGCTGAGAAGCGATGGCAAGACTTGTGAAGGTAAGTGGGGTCAAGAAGGGGCCCAGACCCAGAGCCCGGAGGAAACCATCAGCTTATTCTTTGCCATTCAGGAAAGAGCCTAGGTGTTAGGGGAGAGCAGCAGGCGGTGGAAAGAAATGACAAAAGAGGCTCATTGTCATTGTGAATAGAAGTCACTGTTGATTTTATCTCCAAGATTCAACAGGAAGGAATTTTACAAGAGGCAGAAACCCATATTCTTTTAGGGGAAATTAGACTATTACATGTTTTTCAAACTCAAGTGTGCTTGTGAATCTTTTTTTTTTTTTTAATGGTACTCAGGATTGAACCCAGGTCCTTCACATTGAGCTACATTTCCAGCCCTTCCTTCCCTTCCCTTCCCTTCCCTTCCCTTCCCTTCCCTTTCCTTCCCTTCCTCCCCTCCCCTTCCTGTCTCTTCTCTTCCCTTCCTCTTCCTTGCCTCTCTCTCTATAGGTTTGAGACAGGGTCTTGCTAAATTGCCCAGACTGGGCTTGAACTTGATCCTCCTGCTTCCACTTCCTCCAGTGCTGTGATTACAGGCTTGCACCACCATGCCTGGATCATGTAGGGTCCTGTTCAAGCACAGATTCTGATTCAGTAAGTCTGGGATGAGGTTAAGAAATTGTATTTCTACGTAATGTATAGTTGACACTTATGCTGCTAGTCTAAGCAGCACACCTGGAATAGCAAAATAATACAGGCAGTAGCATAGCCAATGGTTTACACTGTTTCTCCACCTTCCCTGCTGATGAGAATCACTGAGGCCTTTGCACCTAGCCCCTGCCAGGTCCCTCTCCTGAGATTCTGCTTCTGTAGGCTGGGAGGAGGCCCTAGAGCTTGAGTTTTTAACAAGCTCCACCTACGATGCTTATTGTATGCTTTGTATTTACTAGCGATAAATACGTTTTTAAAGGATAAATAAAATGAATTATTCTTAATAGCAAAGATGTAGGTATATTTTATATGATTAAGTAACAAAAAGAAACCCTAATGTATATCACATAATTGAAATTAAAATTATCTATTATTTTATTTTAATTTTTAATTGACAATAATTGTACATATTTATAGGATACTATGTGACATTTCAATAATCTATTATTACATGAAACTTAAATACTGTCCCTTCCCTAAGACACATTTACTTTTGTAAGTTATCGCAGCTGAAATGTCATCACTTCTGCTTTCATCAGTCTGAATTCTCATGACACTTAATAGAAAATGTGACATGGAGAAACAGCTTAATTATTGTTATTTACAGCAGATGTATGATTTGTCCTGCAGGATAATTGGATTTGGGGATTCATAGCGCTATAGTACTACTTATAAGATTTAATTTTATTCTCATAATATTCAAAATAATATAATACTACTCCAAAAGGAAAAATTGTGGCTAGTGCCCACAGTTTATTCCATACAACAAAGTTTGTATTGCTAAGGGAACATTACTAGAATATGAAACTCCTGTCCTTTATAAAAAGACATTTTAAATTTTGTTGAATAAGGGTAATGTCCTGAATCATTCTTAAATTTTAATTATTTTATGTAATAAATTTTGCATATTTGAATATTAATGAAATGGTCCATGAGGAACATTCATGAGTACTTTATTGGAACTATTACAGTCAATCTTCTATAATCTTAAAACCTAATCACCATAAATGAAAAATATTTTAGCAAAAGATAAAAATTATATATGAGTTATACTTTAGGATTGATATTTCTATTAGTAATCCTTAAATTTTATTGATAGTCTAAATATATTTATTTCTTCACTGGGGCTATTGAATAATTATATCTTCTTTAAAAAATAAATTAATTTTAAATCAATTTTTATATTTTATTATGAAAGTATAGGAAAAATACAGAGGAGTAAAATTAAGATAATTAAAATGACCCAAAATTCCCCTTGCCAGATATGCCCAACCTACACATTTTGGTATATCCTCCTGAAAGACTTAAATCCCTTAAGGCAATTTAGATTTTCAAGTTTTTTATTGCTCTGCATTTTTAGACCTAGAAATATTCTGAGAGAACATTTAGGGTAATTCCTTCATCTTGCAAAGATTGGAATTATTATAATTCAGAGAAATAAAATGGCTTAAGAAAGTTCATTTTGGGAGCCAGAGGTATAGCTTAGTGGCAGAGCACTTACCTAGCATGTCTGAGGCCCTGGTTTTAATTCCCAGCACTACCACAAAAAAGAAGTTACTTTTTAGAAAACAAATTTCCTATTAATGTTGATTTTAGCATCTTACAGCGTATTTACGCTTTCTTCCACACTGTTGCATATAATTTCATCCATTTCTAAATTCCATAAACAGTGACAGCTAATGTCTTTAAAGTTTTGCAAAGATTAATTCATTGCAATTTTATTCTCTATATGTTTCACAAAAAATTTATTTATCCTATTAATTTACTGATGTTCCAAAGAACTATTTTTCTTTCCTTACTATCATTGAACTGATAGAGTTATATCTAATACCTGAAAATCAGCTTACATAGTTCCCTAAGCATCTCAGATGATCTGAAACATTTCCTTCCAAGTATACCCTAGAATAGAGATCAGCAAATTTCTTTAATGGCCAGGTAATAAATATTTAGACTCTGTGGACCATACAGAATCAATAAAAATATTCAGCTCTGCCCATGCAGTGAGAAAGTAGCCATAGAAATAGGTAAACACGTGTACATGGCTGTGTCCCAAGAAAACTACCTGAAATAACACGTAGCAGGTTAGAGTTTGACAACCCCTGACCTAGAAGATAATGCCCAGGTTCCTGGTTATTTTTCCTCTGCTAGGCTTCAAGTCACATGGTAGCTTCTTCAATTTTCAATTGAATATTTTCCTTTTTGTCCATTTGACTATGCATTTTGAAAATACAAACATTAAAAAGAGGAAAGTTGGGCTGGGGATTTAGCTCAGTGGTTCGGCTGCCTGCCTCGCAAGTGCAAGGACCCAAGTTCGATCCCCGGTACCAAAAAGCAAACAAACAAAAAAAACAAAAGGAGGAAACTTAAAAAAAACCTCATAAGATAAAATACCACCAAGAGTTTGGATGAATGACTTTCAGTATATTGGCCTTTTATCCCCTTTATAGAGGATCAAACTCAAGGTGTTGAGCATTCCAGGCAAGCATGCTACCACTGAGCTTCTTCCCCAGTCCCTAGGCCAGTGATGGCAAACCTTTTAGAGATGAGTGCCCAAACTGCAACCCAAAACCCACTTTTTTTATAGCAAAGTGTCAACACTGCAATTAAACCTGTAGCTTAGAAAAAATAACTCATACATTAACATCTTTTGTCCTAAAAGAAAAAAAAAATCATGCCATAGGTTTGGCCACCACTGCCCTAGGCCATTTTTATAAAAAAAACAACTGACTGCTGTCAGTCTAAGACCCTTTTTCCCCAAAGCTCTTGATCCTAGCGATTCAACAGAGGGTCCATGATCCAGCCAATTGGCTGCAACTCTGATGCATCCAGCTGATCCAGTTGAATTTACACTCTTTCATTTCCTTTTCATCAATAATAATTTCTAATTGGGTGCATTAAGTGTTGTAGCAATTAATGACTTTTGGGTCTTACTCCTGAAAAACCCATAATCCCAGTTCAACCATGAGAAAAAACATCAGGCAAAACCAAACTGGAGGACGTTCTACAAAATGCCTGGGCAGCTTAGGTGGATAGAGCTGTGGAGATTGGAAGATTACTCTCTGTAGCTATAGCATTCAGCAAACAACTTGTGGGCTAGTGTACACATCTCATACTGGGTTAGACTACAGTGATGCTGCTACAGGTCAAACATAAACCCTGATATTAAGTGCCAAGATTCCGAGGGGGAAAGGGTTGCGAGATGGATGATTCCTTCTTCTGTTGGTTTCTCCTGCAGACATCGAAGGATGCCACAATAGCAATGGTGGCTGCAGCCACTCTTGCCTTGGGTCGGAGAAGGGCTACCAGTGTGAGTGTCCCCGGGGTTTGGTGCTAGCTGATGACAACCACACTTGCCAAGGTAGTATGCAGAAAGGCTTGACCTCTGCTCTGCTTTATGCATCCTCCTGCCCTCTACCCACCAGGTGTCTCAGATTCTCATCTTCCAGAACAACAACTCTTTGAGCAACAACAACTCTTTGATGTCCCTAGGACATCACCTGGGAATCATTCAGAGTTCTCTAAGAAAAGATTTTCCAAGAGCTCTCTTTCCTTTGGTGTTTACCTTTGATTTTTCTCAAATTCTGATGGCTCACAGTATGACTCCATTTGGAAGTAGAAGACATTGATTTAGTTCTCTTTTCTAACAGATAAAAAGGATTGAAACTAAGTTGAAGCCCTGGGGAATGGATTCTTCTCCCATCCACCACACACTGAGAACTATTTTCTGGAAATCTAGTCCCTAGTATCCAGAATATTAATTCGCTCATCCAGAAAATATTTAACAAGCACTTATTTCTTATTTTTACGAACTCGTAGTTGTGATATAGCCTCACATACTGCACCCATAAGTACTCCCTTTGAGGTATCTGTAGTCTGGAGAAGTGAGCATGGGAATAATAAGGAAAAGCGATCTTTTTTATATTAAGTTAAAGTGGGTTTTATAGTCAGAGTTTATGGTTTACTGAGCAGTGCAAGGACAGTTTGGAAGCCCTCCCCGAGTGCAGTAACACTGTTTATTACCCCTGTTTTATGGGGCCATAATTAACAGTAAAATCAAGGCAGTACCATTATGTCATTTAAACCAGTATCAAAGCAATACTTTTTCTGCATTGCCAATAAATTGCACTGGTGCTAAAAAATTAATCCTCTGGGTGTTTCACTTCTTCAAGTTATGCTAGCCATAAACAAATGTTTATAAACAAATGTTTGTTGAATTGAAACTTGAACACCGTATTTCCTATTTCAAGGAACAATGTATTTGAGGAGCATTATTTGACCACCATCTTGGAAGTTAGGAATCCTGGTCTTATTTCACTAACTTGTTTTGAATATCATTGATTTCCTAAAGAATAGAACAAAAAGCATAGGCTGTGGGAAGGAGAGATCGTTTCCCCCAGAAGCCTTCCTGACTCTTCCTCCCCATCCAGTTTCCAGTTCTAACAGTAGCCCCTTTCCTGCAGTCCCTGTGGTGTGCAAGTCGAACGCCATTGAAGTGAGTGTCCCCAGGGAGCTGGTTGGTGGCCTAGAGCTCTTCCTGACCAACACCTCTTGCCGAGGAGTGTCCAATGGCACCCACGTCAACCTCCTCTTCTCCCTCAAGACATGTGGCACCGTGGTCGATGTAGGTTGCTCCTGGGGATCCTTGGGGAATGACCAGGACCCAGTCACTTGGGAGGCAGCTGGCAGAGATCTGCAGTGTGGCTTGTGTCATAGATGGGATATTTCCACATGAAAGAAGTGAGCTTCCAACATCTGATGTCACTCGTTTAACAAATTTGTTACTGAGAATCTGTCATGGGGCTGCACTGCAGGAGGGTTCTGCTACCCTGTTCTCAGCCAGCCACCTCTCTCCCATATGCCCAGACATTTCCCTGCCCGAATCAGCACCAGGGGTACTGGGACACTGGCCACTTGCCTGTTCTGTTATTGGAAGAAAGTGATTAAATTGAGATGATGGTTCATTTGGGATGTAGTGAATAAGTTCTAGTATTGAACCAGGTTGAGGTCAAAGGTTTCTCCTTTCATCCAAAAATCTGCACACAGCATGTGCTGCAGTCTGAGGGGAAGATGAACTGAGACTCCTGCCTGTTGGCCACTTACACAGCTGTACTGAGATGACAACACATAAAAGACAACAGGCATTAACGGTGACACAGATGACAAGGCCTCTTGGAGTCCAGTAAGAGACAAGCGGGACTTGGATTGGGATGGAAGTGTGCGTGTGGCTTACCCAAGGAGAGAGGAAAAGAAAGGGCCTTTTATCTGGGGAACACTTTAGGCAAGTTCTGTGGATTGTTTCTGGCTAATCCAGTGGAGAGTCCCTGTAAGGCTGGTGCATGCAGAGCAGACTGGGCCGGAGGCAAGGCTGAGAGTAACCTGCATTACTGTAGCGCTGAGCTTCCGGGTGTGGCTGAGGTCAGCATAGGGTCACAGTGCAGTGGGGTTAAGCAGCTCTGAGACTCCTGAAAAACACCACATCGATGCTGTCCTTTTCTAAAACACCAGAGCTTGGAATTTGCTGATTCTGCCTAGACGAGGTTTTACAAGCAGTGCTCCAAAGGGATGTGTGCAGTGACTGAGAAGCAGATTGTAAACCTCTAACAGGGCATTTTGCTAACAGAGGAGAGCAATTAAAAAAAAAAAAAACAGTTTTCGATGTAAACAGATTTGGGGAAAAAATTCTGCAGAAATAAACTCGCTTCCTCTCCTGTCCTGGCCTGGCTCAGGTGGTGAATGACAAGATCGTGGCCAGCAACCTCGTGACAGGTCTCCCCAAGCAGACCCCGGGGAGCAGCGGGGACATCATCATCCGGACCAGCGAGCTGCTGATCCCGGTGACCTGTGAGTTCCCGCGCCTGTACACCATCTCAGAAGGCTACGTACCCAGCCTCCGGAACTCCCCGCTGGAAATCATGAGCCGCAATCACGGCGTCTTCCCCTTCACGCTGGAGATCTTCAAGGACGACGAGTTCGAGGAGCCCTACCGGGAAGCACTGCCCAGCCTCAAGCTCCGCGACTCCCTTTACTTCGGCATCGAGCCCCTGGTGCACGTGAGCGGCCTGGAAAGCCTGGTGGAGAGCTGCTTCGCCACCCCCACCTCCAAGATCGACGAGATCCTGAAGTACTACCTCATCCGGGACGGGTAATGCCCGCTGGAGCCGCACCCTCAGCCCGTACATCATGTGGTCTTTCCTAGCCCTGCGCCCCACCTGCTCGTTAGCTCAGGGGCCCTTAATGCTCTGGAGGTAAAGGATGGAGGAGGAGGAGGGGAGTTAAAACGACTCCAAGGTATACAGCTCTGGTGACTAACTGGCTCCATTACCCTAGATGAAAGGCAGATGTAGAAAAGCAGATTTAAGGTGAAAATATTGAATCTGATCATACAAAATAGGTGTTTTTGTTTTTGTGTTTTGTTCTGGTGCTACTGGGGACTGAACTCGGGAACTTCTCACTGAGCTACATCTCATCCCCTTTTCTAGAGACAGGGTCTTGCTAATTGGCTAAATTGCCCAGGTTCAAACTTACAATCATCCTGCTTCAGCCTCCCAGAGTGCTGGGATTACAGGCCTGCACCAACTTAATATTACATTTTTTAGATACCTGCAGGACATCTAGCAAGTGAAGGTCAGTGGGCAGTTGGAAATGCAGCTCAGGCTCAGGAATAGGTGAGGACTGGCGTAAAGGACAGAGAATGAGCCCCTGTATAGTTGGAACTGTGGGATGGGGGGGCTGCTCAGAGAGGGCAGGGTGTGTGTGCTTGCCAGGTGGAGCTCAGCCTTGTTGGGGGGCTGAGAATGTGTGGGGAGGAGGAAGTGAAGTGGCAAGTGTAGACCCCTCTTTTAAGAAGTTTGGTAGTGAAGGAGAGAGAAAAAATACTTGGCAGATTTTAGGAGAAGAAAAGCACAGAGGTTTCCACGATATCCTCTAAGGGGCCCCGGATGAGGTTTGCAGGTTGGGTTCAGGGAGCACTGAACACCTAACAGTGCTCACAGCCATTCCCAGGGAAATACATGCAAACGCCAAAATACTCTCATGTGTGCCTTCTTGTTCTGAATGGAGGTGGGCAAGGCTCAGGTAGGGGCAGGACTGCAGCTTCATACACAGAGCCATGGTCCAAAGCGCAGACCTGAACCCCGGGCTCAGCTCTTGGCCAGTTGGTCTGTGGGCTCCTAGAAGTCTCTGGTTTGCTTTTACCTCTTGTCTCTCCCCACAGCTGCCTTCGCCTGCTGCTGTCAATCTCGTACACTGAGTTTTCAGTGTGGGATGCACATCAGGATCAGCTTTTTAAAAAATAGCAGTGCCCAACCCTTTCCTCTCAATTCCAGACCTATTATAATTCTGGCCCTGGACAACAAAAACAACCTCCTGTGCCCACCTGTCAGACCTCAGCTGTCAGGAGCCACTCAGAAGGAAATGTGACTTTGACACCTGCTGAGACCCTTTAGTGGCTCCTTCCTACTTCTAGTGGGAATGGCAGCTGTTTTCCAGATGTGCATCTGGACCCAGAGTCCTGCAGCCTCCTCAGCTCATTTGCACCGAGAGGAAAGTCTGGTCCTGAGCGGTTTGGGGTGGCCGTTACAGGGGTCTGTTATACAGGGCAGCATAGCCCCTTGGCTTTCGTGCCGTTCTGAAGTGATCCCCAGTAAGTTGGTTATCCTTTTTTGTTGTTTTTTTGGTTTTTGGTTTTTGCTTTTTGAGAGAGGGTTTTGCTATGTACTTCAGGCTGACCTTGAACTCATATGTAGCCTCGGCTGGCTTCAAACTTGAGGCAATCCTCCTGCCTGAGCCTTCCGAGTGCTGGGATCACAGGTGTGCGCCACCATGCCTGGCTCACATTTAATTTTAAGAAGGATATAATCATAACTCACTTACTGGAAATGAGTGACCTAAAATCTCAATAATGCCTGTGAAATTTTCTTCTGTATTTATTGTTCAGACTCTCAACAAAGGACTGTTTGTTTTACCTGGTTATGAGAAGCTGCATTGTTCATTCATCTAGCCCTTAGCACATACAAAAGAGAAATATCTATGTGCTGTAAGAGAAAAAAAGTGCAGGCAAGAATGGAAAAGTGCAGCAGTGTGGGCAAAGAGGATGAGAGTTTATGCACAGGAGGGAACTGGGCCCTCGGCCTCCCCCGTTTTCCGCTCCAGCCAGAGGGAATTGCTGGCAACTCAGCCTGGCTCCTTACAGCCTCTTGACGTGTCCTGTACTATTTCCTCTGCCTGAAATCTTTTTTCCTGTCTGATTCTTTCTGGCCCTTTGGAATTCAGTGTCATTTACTTCCTCAGTGAAGCTGTCCCAGATCTGTCAGATGATGAACTAGAGGCCTCCTTCCTCCTCAAGGCCTAGCAGAGAGAAGAGGCCATTAAATATTCACTCAGCAAATCCCTGAAAGAATATTCAGAATAGTAATTTGGAGCTCAGCCACAAAACGAAACTAAGTATGATATATTTACTTATATTTAACATTTTTTGATTATTCACTTTTAAAAGTATTCATTGTCTTCAGCTTAAGTTTATTTCAAGCTGGTTTCTCCTAGATGTTGAACATACCTGATCTACTCCCCTCAGATTTTAGTTGGTATACTCTCTGAGAATGCAAAATAGCTTAATTCTAGCCTAAGTAAAATATAACAAAAAAGTGAATTCTCAGAAAAAGAAACATTGGGTTCTAAAGTCAAGTACTGAGGAACATTTTGATAAATGATTACTGTGGACTCTCGTATACCACTGCTATTTGCTTTTTTTTTTATGTATTGGGGATCAAACTTGGGACTTTATGCTTGCAAGGCAGGTGGCAGAACCACTGAGCCAAATCCCTGGCCTTGCTATTTGCTTTTAACACACAAACCTGGAATTGTGAGAACTAACATTATCTAATGACAGCAAATGCCAAGTCAAGAGTCAAAATTTGCCCTGTTATGCATTACCTTGTAAGAACCCTTTCTGTCTCATTTTCTCTTTCAAAGAAGAATAATAGTATTTTTAGGCAAACAAACTGAAATTGCTGAGACATTTAGATGAAAAGTACCTTTTAAATATTAAGTGTTAGTATTGTTATCATAGGTACTAGACTATCATAGGCCATATTACTCTGTGTGTATTGTAAACCACATTTGTGTGTGTGTGTGTGTGTGTGTGTGTGTGTGTGTGTGTGTTGCTGGGGATTGAACCCGGGCTCTTCTACAGGTAGGAAAGAGCTCTACCATTGAACTACATCCAAAACCCAAATATTACTCATCTTTATCCCCTCTGAGGCACCCAGCAGAGACTCCTGTACAGATTAGGTGTGCAACTGATCTTTATTATAAAACATAATAGAAAGCTATAAATTGATTTTACCTCAGAATAATCAAATTGAGTAAGTAAATATAGGACATAGCAGAAGCCATATCATCTGCTCAGATCCTTTCCAGTTCAGTGGAATAAGATGCTAATGGTAATACATGTCGAGATGCTGTCTTTTGAAACAACTTTATTGATGTTTCAGCAGCACCCAAGTGACAGCGATGAACTGAAAAGCGGTACATTAGCATGTGGAGCAAGAACTCATTTCAGAGGCTTTTGTATCTGACCTCACACTTTTCCTGGCCCAGTAGACAAACTGTTAGATGCCCATTAAAAAGCAACTATGGGGGCCCGGATGTAGCTTAGTGCCGCCATGCCTGCCTGGCAAGCACAACATCCTGAGTTCAGTCCTACTACCAGAAAATAAATAAATAAATAAATAAATAAATAAATAAATAAATAAATAATTTTTTAAAAAGCAACTATGTCCAGGGGAAAAAGATTTCTTTTTTTCTTTTTTTTTTTTTTGGTACTGCGGATCGAACTCAGGACCTCGCGCTTGCAAGGCAGGCAGCGGAACCACTGAGTTAAATCCCCGCCCTGGAAAAAGATCTCTTTATGATTTGATTGGGATAACTAACACAAGAGTCATCCTGGGCCTTTCTGGGGAAAATCTTCCTCAATATTTAAAACCATGGTTTCGGCAGGAAGCCTCAGTGACATCTTCTCCCCAGCTATCCCTGAGGCAAACCTAGAAGTTACACTGCAAGCAGTAGACCAGAGATTGAACCCCAAGTCCTGTCAAATTGCAGCTGCCATTCCATTTGGGAAAAGAGGAATGAATACAATTTCAGGTAAATGACTGCCCCCCCATAGACCTACTTGTTCCTTAAGAAACTAAGATGTGTATCCAGCAATTTGATGCACAGGTTGTGGTCTGTTCCCTTTTGCACCTGCTCATTGGTTGGTGTCTCTTAGGTGTCTGGTATATACTTGTTAAATTTAAGAAACACCTCCTCAAACCAATAATAAACTACACAAAGTCAGAATCCCTGCAATATGTTACAAATGAGAAGAGCCTTACCAGCCAAAGTTTTCTTTGAAACGTATGTTGTTAATGTTGCTCTAGTGAAACACATGACAGGCAGGCGTACTTGTGAGGAGGGCTATGTCAAACAATATCTTCACTAAGAGGGAATTTCATTTGCTTTTTCTCAAAAATCTGGTGGACAGCCCAGCCCACTCCACCCCATTTACCTCTCCTCTGGCCAAATATGTTGGACCGGGTTGTTTTTCCATCTCTGTGGAAATGATCAAGTCTTACATGCAACCTGTCCTACTTTCAGCTGCGTTTCAGATGACTCAGTGAAGCAGTACTCATCTCGGGATCACCTAGCAAAGCACTTCCAGGTTCCTGTCTTCAAGTTTGTAGGCAAAGACCACAAGGTGAGCTGAACATCTTTACCTCCTAAAGCCCAGACCTGAGCCTTCCTTCTTGATGTCCCTTCCTTTGGTCAGGTGACCTTGTGAGACCCCATGGTTGGGATCTGTGTGACCCCTAGGAATAATACAGTTCAGCTGGCCATTGAAAAGCTTAACACCTTCATACATGTCACAACTGCCCCCGCTTCCCACAAAATAACTGTTCTTGTTCAAGAGAATATTACTGGATCATAATGTAGAACCTATGTGGTCAGGTATGGATGAAGCCAGTGTGTGGTCAGTTACATAGTAAAAGACATGCACAAGAAATTCACAGAAAAGACAAAGAGTGAAATGGTAAGTGAAAATAGTACTTAAGCTGGGGATTTAGGTTGGTGGCACAGCACCTGCCTGGCAAGTGCAAGGTCCTGAGTTCAACCCCCCCATACCAAAAATATAAAGAAAAAAGTACTTAAAATTCCAATTATAGGACACTACTATATACATTCTAAATTTATAGAACTTCTAAATTATAACACTTGCAAGGGTATAAGTATACAGTGGTGGTATAAATTGGTACATTTTCTAGAAAGTTATCTGATAATATGCAATAATAACCATTAAATCATATTCTCTTATCTAAAAATTTCAATCATAATAGTTTCTCAAAAACAAAACAATAGTTTGTTGACCATGTTCATAGAGCATTGTTTTAAGGGGAAAAAAAACTCAAACAGAGCTAACGAGCTACCATATATTAATTTAATGCAATAGTAAGCATTTATTAAAAGGATAAATGTGTGGAGAGCAGACTGTAAAAATTTTGTCAAAACAACTTATATGCATACTGGGTATGCTACATTTAAAAATCCACATATTTACATAGATAAGGGTATTGAGTGACAGGTGGAAGTGTTTGTTGTTATTAGAGTGGTTGAAACATTTAAAGAAAAGGAGATTCAAGCCTGTGTGTTCATGCCTTTCCAGCAGTATCATTATTCCAGAATGACTGGTAAAGATGATGGCTGACCCTGCTTTCCCTCCTCCATTAAGCAGTGGCTGTAAATGGTTCCTCACAGACCTTGCTTTGAAGGACAAAGATGTTAATGTGAGACATTGCTTCACAAAGGTCTCTTTTGTCCCATCCCGGCTCAGTGCAGAAGTTATGGCTGTGGGTGACTGCAATTCCAACTTTCCACATTACTGATGTGTGGATCAGGCTGGTTCCTTTTTCACTCTGCACCTCAGTGTACTCTTCTGTAACATGGGGATGGTAACACCTGCCTCTGAGTGTTGCTGTTAGGATTGAAATAAAGTCTGTGAACCATGTGCAAGGTGCATGGCTTCCACTGGTGCCCACAGCGGCAGCTTTTACTGCTGTCCTTGCTGAGGGTCCTCACATCTTTTCAGGAGGTTTTTCTGCACTGCCGCGTTCTTGTCTGTGGAATGCTGGACACGAGTTCCCGCTGCGCCCAGGGTTGTCACCGGCGAGTGCGTCGTGCGGCCGGAGAAGGAGAGGACACTGCTGGTCTGCAGAGCCAGATACTGACGGGTGGCCCAATCAGCATCAACTGGGAACACTAGCTCCCCACACACTTCAGTCTGCTGTCCTCTCTGGAACTTCTGCCATACCCTCTAAGGACACCTCAGAGGACCTCCTGGACACCTGGCTTCTTTAGGCCATGTACTTCGAGTTTAGACAAACTCCCAGAACCCCTCACTGCTCCTGGTCCACAGGCTGGTACAAGTCACAGCACAGGTCACAGCTGTGCTGTCCGATGTGGTCTGAGTGCGCCTTCAGCTTCCTAATGTGGAAAACTAAGCTGTCCACAGAGGAAGCTTGCCCTACCTCCTCAGTCCTTTCCTACAACTAAACACCTTGTGTATGATGCAGTAGGACCACCCAAATCAGAAACTGGTTATAATATTATAATATCTCAAAAAATAAATACTTACTAAAATTATAACTTAACTACTTAATGATCCCTAGATATGTAAATAATAATCATGCCTTAAAATTTTAATTCAAACACAGAATAGTTATAGGGGATTTGGAAGTTTATCAATTAAACAATGTATAATAAGGAAATGTCTTTTGATTTTTTTCTCTTGCATAATATTTTTGGATGTTTTTATTGCCTTAGGTGAAATATTTTCACTTAATAAATATTAATAAATTAATCAAATGCATTTAAGTGGTTTAATGACTAAACTATTAGCAAAATTAAAGTTTGGTACTGTATGCCCTCTAAATAGGCATTCTATGCCTTCAAATCAGTAAGACAGACAAAGGTACAAAATTATACCATACTTGTTAGTGCTTAATAAATTTTATTGAAATAAATTTCATAAACCACAAAGATAAATGTTATTTGTAATTAAATCAATCTCTCTTTGTGTATGTATGTGTATGTGTGTGTGGTACTAGGGATTGAACCCAGGGGCTCTCTACCACTTAGCTACATCCCCAGCCCTTGTTAAAATTTTATTTTAAGACAGAGTCTCACTAATTTCCCCAGGCTGGCCTTGAACTTGCAATCCTGCTGCCTCAGCCTCCAGGTAGCTGGGATTACAGGCGTGGGCCAACATACCTGGCTAAATTCAATTTCTTGATATGTCAATTAATATTATGCCTTTACATAAGATTAGAAAAAGTTTCTTTTTTCTTTAAAAGTGTCTACAATGAATAATTCCTGTTAGAACCGGTGGAATTAACAAAAGAAAAAGAGTAAATGATTTAGATCAGAGCTTAACAGCCTTGTTTCTACAGGGCCACACAGTAAAAATGTTTCAGGCTCTCTGGGCCATGCAGTTTTTGTTGACTGCTGCTATGGTGCAGAAACAGCTGTAGTCAAATCCAGCATAACTGTAAACAAATGTGAGCGTGGCTGTGGTATCAAAAGCTATACAGAAACAGGCCTTGGACTGGATTTGGCCAATCCCTGATGTAGAGGAAGATTAGTGCCCCCCAAGTCCTCCCCAGGCATCAGAATCACCTGGGGAAATTATCATAAAACACCAGTGCGGAGGCACCAGCCCAAGCATCCTTACAGGCTTGTTCTGTGCGGTCCTCAGGTGATCTTAATCCATAGTCATGATGAGGACCATAATTTAGGGAATGGCCATGTGTCTCTTGCTCCCTAAGGTTGCAGGTGTTTTCCTAGCCCTTGCCAAGCCTGTCTCAGATGTTAGCATGACTCAAAGGCCTCTCAGGACCTGGAACACCAATGGGGAAAGGCCCCGGGGGAAAAATGGAAGCTCAGAGCCCTGATTCCACCTGCCCTTCCTCTCCACGGGTCTTCGGCAGGTAAGCCTCCACATTGCCCACCTGCTTTCCTCTCCTCTGCACCAGTGGGAATCACCTGTATTGGTGGAACTTACCAGGTTGGGTTCTGTCTCTTCTAAGTGAAATGGAAACACAGGTGATAATGGAATTCATTCATCTGTGTTCAAATTTTCTAAAAAGTACACTTTATTAAATGTGAGGTGCTTACTGGCAACTGAGGAAACCAGGCCAAAGGAAAGTCACTGCCTCCCAAAGGTTGGACTCCTGAAAATTTCACTTATGAATAGAATGATCAGGTCCAGGAATCACAGGGCTTGCTTATAGTGCAGTCTTTATGCTAAGAATTGAATCCAGGTGAATGTGTCCTGCTCAGGAAGAGCAGTGTCAGAGTGCTGAGCCACTTTAATCTCTCCTCATCTCTCTCAACTTTCCTCAAAGGACAGGACTCACTGTTTCCCTTCTCCTGCTTTGTGTTATCCAAACTGGTGGAAGAAAGGATGTCATGCATCTGGCATGCTCCATCTCTGAGACTGACTGCTGTGGATCCACCTCATCATAACTCTTCTTTCTCCTCTTCTGCACAGATGCAAGCTGCCCGTTGACTGTTCATAAAAGGCCGGCAGCCCAAGGTCCATACGGTATTGAACACAGTGTCAGCCAGAGAATCACAGGCTGCTTGAAAAAGATGGAGAAATAGAAAGGTTAACATAGAGGACTACCCTAAGTAGTGCAATTGTGAAGGGGCAGCCCCAGAGCAAAGTGGAGTCAGTCATCTGATACAGAATTAAAAGGGAAAGCACACATTTAAGAGAAGCTTTTTAGACAAGCTGCCATCCAATCCAGTTAAGTGAAATGCTCTTTGGAGTGGCTTTCTTTTGTGGGCCCGCTGATCACAATAATGGTTAGTAACTGGGATCTCCCCTATCATTATGCTCACCATTTTACAGAATCCTCCCTCAGGTGACACTGTTATGTTTCCTATCACTTTCCCTGTTCAAGAATGGGTCGCACAATTGGTTACTGGTTGTGAAACATTTGTTTGCATTGGATATGTTGGTCAGCCACTCTCCGAGATGTCAGTGAGAGACAAAAGGCATCATCCCCAATTCTAGGACTTCACAGTTTGGACCAAGGAGATGGCATGGTCAGGTCAATAGTTAGTTACACTAGACCACAGTTAACATGTCCCCAAGCCAGTATGGAAGCCCACAGAAAGGGTCCCTATCCCTTTGGGGGTTAGGGTTATTAATTAGGAAAGGCAACTCAGAGAAACTATAGTATTTTAAGTTGAAATTTTAAGAATATCCAGGAAAATGAATTACTGATGCAGGCTACTTGAAATCTTGAAAACATTATGTTAAATAAAAGAAGCCAGGCACAAAATTCCACATACTATGTGATTCCATTTATATGAAGTGTCTGCCACAGGCAATCTATAGTGATAGAAAGTAGATTGGTGGTTGCCATGGGCTATGGATATGGGGTGATGAGGAATGACTGCTAACAGATACAGGATTTCTTTGGGGGTAATGAAAATGCTCTGGAATTATATGGTGGTGATAGTTGCACAGCCCTGTGAATATATGAAAAACCACTGAATCACACACTTTATACGGAAGGATTTTATGGCATGTGAATGATGTAACAATAAAATTGGTTTATAGAAAAGATTTTTAAAAGTTGACAAGCTTTTAGCTAAAATGACCAGAAGACTCAAGTTGCTAAACTCAGAAATGAAAGACAGATATTGCTGCTAATCTTGCAGAAATAAAAAGGACAGGGCCAGGGATTTAGCTCAGTGGTTTTGTCACCTGCTGTGCAAGCGCAAGGACCCAAGTTCGATCCCTGGTACCAAAAAAACCCAAAAAAACAAAAAAAAAAACCCACAACAAGGGAATGCAAAAAAATAGACAATTTAAAGGAAATGACGAATATCTAGAAAGGCATAAACTGCTAAAACTGACTAAAGAAAAAATAGAAAGTGTGAGTAGATTGCTAGTGTATATAAATACAATAATTAGTTCAAACTTTTAAATTAGGAATTAAAAACTTCCCCAAAGGAAACCCAATCCCACATGACTTCACTGGGGAATTTTACCAGACATTAAAGGAGAATTAACACTAATCCTTCTCAAACTCACCCAAAAGTAAAAGAGGGGTCAATTGCCAGCTCATTGTACAAGATCATTATTACTCTGATACCAAAACCAGACCAAGACCTCACAAAGCCACAAGACCAAGACCTAACAAACCTTAGACCAGTATCTCTTATGAATATAAATGCAAAATCTTTAACAAGGTACTAGTAAGCTGAATCTGGTAACATGGAAAAAGAATTACACTTGGCCGAGGATTTAGCTCAGTGGTGCTGCCACCTGCCTCCCAAGCGCAAGGTCCTGAGTTCGATCCCCGGTACCAAAAAAAAAGAAAAGAAAGAATACAAATTTGGTTCAGCATTCTAAAATCAATTAACATAATAGAACCAATATTAATAGAATAAAGGACAAATATCACATGATGCAGAAAAACATTTGACAACGACTGAATCTTTTTTCATGATAAAACCACTCAAAAAACTAGGAAAAGAAGAGAACTTCTACAACCTGACAGAGGCTAACTAGAAATAGCCACAACTAACAATCATGCTTAATGCTTAAAGGATTAAAAATACAGAACTCAAGCTGGGGATTTAGCTCAGCGGTTCCACCGCCTGCCTCGCAAGTGCAAGGTCCCAAGTTCAATCCCTGGTATCAAAAGAAAAAAATCTCTAAGTAAATAAATCATCAAATATACATATAGACAATCATATGGGCTGTGGATTTAGCTCAGTGGTGCCTATGCCTGCCTTGCAAGCACAAGGTCCTGAGTTCGATCCCCAGTGCCAAAAAAAAAAAAAAAGAACACACAGAATTCAATAATAAAAAGAATTCAGAAAGGGACACAAAGGATTTGAATAGACATTTTTCCCAAGCATTATGGAATGACCAATAAAAATATGCTCAACATCACTACTTGCCAGAGAGATGCAAATCAAAACCACAATGAGGTACTACTTCACACACAAATCGAAAAGTCAGATAATAATCAGTGTTGGTGAGGGTATGAAGAAATTGGAACTTTTATGCATTGCTTGTGGGAATGTAAAATGGTGTGGCTATTTGGGAAAATAGTTTGTCAGTTCTTCAAACAATTAAACATAGAATTACCATATAACCCAGCAATTTCTTTCCTAGATATATACCCAAGAGAAGTGAAAACAGAGTTCCCCATATAAACTTGTCCATAAATGTTCATGGCAGCAGTATTAATAACCAAAAGATAGGAACAACCCAAATATACATCAACTGATGATGGGATAAAGGAAATATGTTAAAGCTATACAACAGAATACCCTTCAGCAATACAAAGGAATGAAACTCTGATACATCCTACAACATGGGTAAACATTACTAAATAAAAGAAGTTAGTTACAGAAGACCACATATTATTCCACTTGTGTGAAATATCCAGAGTGGGCAAATCAAGAGGCAGAAAGAAGATTCATGGTTGCCTCAAGCCGAGCAGGAGGAGTCTGGGGAGGTCTACTATATGGCTGGGGGTCCCTTTTTGAACTTCTAAAATTGATTGTGGGATTGTCTGCAAAACTATGAACATACTTAACAAAAATTTAAGTGGGTGGATTTTATTGTATATGATCACAAGAACAATAAAGCTGTTTCAGTAATACCAACAGATGAATGACCAGGGCATTCCAAGCAGAGGGAACTGTGGGGACAGAAAGGTTTGGGCCATTGAGCTCAGTGGTGTGTGGTTCAGGGGTCAGGAGAGAAATCTGGAATATTCAAAATTATGCCGACAGGGGTAGGCTAGGGCTGTACCAGGAAGGGCCATGAAC